AGTGGTAGAGCGCTTGCCTTGCATGCATGAGGCCCTGGGTTCGATTCCTCAGCACCACATAAGCAAAAAGAAAAAAAGCCAGAAGTGGTGCTGTGGCTCAAGTGGTAGAGCGCTAGCCTTGAGCTGAGGAGCTGAGGGACAGCGCCCAGGCCCAGAGCTCAGGCCCCACAACTGGACCCAAGAAAAAAAAAAATGAAAGTAAGACTATTTAATAGCTCATCTATTCTCCCAAGAGGCACAAAGTGAAAACCTGTAACAAGATCAAGTGTAGTGGATGTTAACTGTAGTCCTAGCATTCTGGAGGCCAAGGTAGGACTAAACTCGGGAATTTGAAGCTAGTCTGGACTACAGAGACTCCATCTGATGAAAACTGAAATAAAGCGAAATGTCTCACAGTTCTTACTCAAAATCTCTATAACTGAGTGCTTTTCCTTTTGTTTTGTGCTAGTCCTGAGGCTTGAACTCAGAGCCTCTCCTTCACCTTTTTTGTTCAAGGTTGGTACTCTACCACTTAAACTAGGCCCGTCTGGCTTTTTGCTAGTTAACTGCAGACAGTCCCACATACTTTCCTGCTTGGGCTAGTTTCAGATCACAATCCTCAGATTGCAGATGCTTGAGTAGATAGGATTATAGGCATGAGCCACTAGCACCTGGCTGGGTGATTAAAAAAAAAAACAACTGCTGGGCACCGGTGGCTCACGCCTGTAATCCTAGCTACTCAGGAGGCTGAGATCTGAGGATCGTGGTTCAAAGCCAGCCCAAGCGGGAAAGTCCGTGAGACTCTTATCTCTAATTAACCACTAGAAAACCACAAATGGAGCAGTGGCTCCAAGTGGTAGAGTACTAGCCTGGAGCACAAAAGCTGAGGGACAGCACCTGGGCTCTGAGTTCAAGCCCCATGACTGACAAAAAATAAGTAAACATATATAAATATAAGTATAAAAACAATATATACAAATTATATCCAAACTATAAAACAAGAAAAAATATAACTATTTAATAGACCATCTACTCTCCCAAGAGGCACAAAGTAAAATCTGCAACAAGGTCGAATATGGCAGCTCTTTCCTGTCGTCCTAGCATTCTAAAGACTGAGACAGGAAAAAGCCCAGGAATTTGAAGCTAGTCTGGACTACAGAGATCCCATCTCATTAAAAAAAAAAATGGACGGCTGGGAAGGTGGCTCAGTGGTAGAGCGCTTGCCTTGCATGCCTGAGGCCCTGGGTTCGATTCCTCAGCACCACATAAGCAAAAAGAAAAATGCCGGAAGTGGCGCTGTGGCTCAAGTGGTAGAGCGCTAGCCTTGAGCTGAAGAGCTGAGGGACAGCGCCCAGACCCAAAGTTCAGGCCCCACAACCGGACCAAAGAAAAAAAAAAAAAAAGGAAAGAAAGCAAAATGAGTAATAGTTCCTACTTAGTATCTCCATAGCCGTTTTGTTTTGGTGCTGAGACTGGGGCTTGAACTCAGAGCCTGGCACCTTTTTTTGCTCAAGGCTGTTGCTCTACCATTTATTTTTGTGTGTCCAGTCGTGGGACTTGAACTCTGGACCTGGGCACTGTCCCTCAGCTCAAGGCTAGCACTCTACCACTTGAGCCACAGCGCCACTTCTGGCTTTCTTTTTTTGCTTATGTGGTGCTGAGGAATGGAACCCAGGCCCTCAGGCATGCAAGGCAAGTAAGTGCTCTACCACTGAGCCACCTTCCCAGCCCCTGTTGTTCTACCATTTAAACCAGGTCTTAGAAAAACAATCTCAGACTTTCCTGAGATGGTTTCAATCTGCAACCCTCAGACCTCATCTCCTGAGCAGCCAGGAGTACAAGCCTGAGTTGCATTAAGTGGTGTTTTAATAGACACAGTATGACAGTATGCGGTGAAGCTTACGTGCTCCACCTTACCTGTGGCAGAATTTGAATGCACCTTTAGCATATACACTACTTAGCTTACAGTATCCACACAACTGGCAACGTTCTGTGGCATGAGGCAGAGGGCTGCAGAGGCAGGGGTGTTGCTCAGTGCTGGCAGTGCAGGCTTGTTGTTGTGAGCTCACACCAACAGCGGCTCTCAGAATCCAGAAGTGGGCACCAGGAACCGGCTGGACACAACAGCGTCCAGGGCTGGCCGGGTGAGTCCAGGCAGGCACCTCTGTTGCGGCCGCCTGCCCAAGGACCAGTCGCCTCTTTGGCTTGTGTGGGTGCGGTGGCAGCCTCGGAACCCAGCGAAAGCACTCAGGACAGGGCTGGTTTCCCTCGTCTCTGCCAGGAGCACTGTGGGTATGGCTCAGGAAAGAGAGGTGTCAGAGCTGCACTGGCCCCTGGGCCGGCGTCTCTCGGGAGGGAGAGAGTGCCTCCTAGTGGAGACCAGCCCATGAAGAGTGGGGAAGGCCCTGCCACGCGGGAGAAACGACCTTGTGTGCTGCAGGAAGGAAGGTGGGACCAAAAGCGAAGACGCGCCTGGCACCGCAGATCATGCTGGGATCCCAGCAACTCGGGAGGTGGAGAGAGGAGGCCTGCAGTCTGAAGCAGTCCTGAGCAGAACTGAGATCCTCACTGAGAAATAACTGCAGCACGCAGGGGTTTTGTGTGTGGCTCAAGTGGTAGCGTGCTTGCTGTGCTGGTTAGAAACCACAGCACCACACACACACACACACAAAATTATTACCTTCATCTGGCCAGGGCTGTGGCCTTCCCCTCTTTTCAGCAGGGCTGCTGTCACACCTAGGACCGTGGGGAAGCCTGGAGGGGAAGGGCTTGCCTCGTGGCTGGTGGTGCCTGCAGCCTCCGGGCACGAAGGAAGTCCTGGCCGTGGGCGCGGCTCCCCACGGCTGCGGCCAGGTGTGCAGGCGCAGGGAGAGCAGAGCAGGTGATGGGGGGAGGGGTCCCATCTCCGCAGGCGCCTTGGTCACGCCGCGTGGGCAGGGAGTGGCAGGAAAGCAAGAACTCGAGGCTGGCGCTGACTGCGTTCTGGTTTCTTTTTATTTATTTATTTTTGTTCTTTTTTTTCCTTTTTTTTTAAGTATGGAGGCTCAAGTATAAGATGTAGATTTTTTTTGTTTAAGCTTTACAAAAAACAAAATAAAACAAACAAAAAAAAACTCCTTTTGCATTCCATAAAAATTGACAGAAAAGCACCTGGCCAAAAGAGCAGACGGTCGCCAGCCCCAGCCGCCCCGCCCCGCCCCGCCCGGCCGCAGCCTCCGAGCCGGGCCTCCGCACCCGCAGTGCCGGGCGCCCGTGCTCCAGAGCGGCCCCTGCCCCAACCCCAAGCAACCCCCAAACACACGCGGAACCAGATTTCCAGTTTTCATCTTTCACACACCACAGTTATTTCATAAAATTTTTTTGTTTTACATTTTTTACACCAATGTAACAAAAAGGTGGGAGGGAGGGTGATGGTGTATTATGCCTGTAAATGGGGGGGGGGACCCAGGCAAACACACACACACACACACGCACACACACACGCACACACACACGCACGGGCTTTTATGGGGACATTGAGTTTCGGTAGCAAAACGTGGTGGGAAGCAGGCGCGGAGCCGGAGGAGGGGTCATGGGGTTTATTCGGGGGAGGGATGGCGCTGTGCGGCGGACGATGCAGTTGTTATGTGACCTGTCTGGGAGGAGGGGGAGGAAAGGGAAGGGGAGGGGAGGGAGGTAGAAGGGAGCAGAAAACGAGTTTTCTAAGAAAGGAATCTAATGAGTGCATGGCGTGTCCGATTAGCGTGAAGCAGAGGTTTAGCATTGCTGCTTTCTCTTCAAAGCCTCCACCAGGTCGTTCTTCAGCGCTTCTTGTTTTGATTTGTCTGCAAATGTCTGCACAGACCTGTGGGGAGGGAGGAAGGCGCCTGAGAACAAGGAGAGGCGTGCCGGCACTGGCTGGCACCCCCCTCGGAGGCCAGGAGGGTGCAGAGGGCTGAGGAGTGGCAGAGGAGTGGCACCTCGGCACCCGCCAGGCTGCAGGAGACCAGGCCACGGCAGCCACCAGGGCTGCCGCGGCTCAGGTGTGGGCATAGCCATGCGGTGGAAGCACTACGCAGCCGAGGCCTCCGCCTGCTAGAACTCCAAGGGCCTGGCTCCTCATCACACAAGACCCGGCAGGCCTGCACCTGCGCATGCCAGGCCGCTCGGCGCTGGGGCCACACAGCACACGCAAAGTGGCTGGGCTTCCAGTGGGCAGCTCTGTCGGCTGCTCATCAGCCTGGACCCTAAAGGGGCAGCCCCTGCAGACAAGACCTGGCGTGATGGGGAAGCACTTTCCACCACGCGAGGAGCGGAGATCGTGGAAATACAGTATGTAAAACACAAAACGCAGACAGCACCTTCCCGCATGCCACCTCGCTCAACCTCACCAGCGTCTCGGGAATCCTCATTATTCGTCAAACTTACCCAACATCACTTAGCTGTGGATTTACTGAACTGTGGAAATCACGTTTTAATAGACTGTCAGCAGAGGGGCAAAGAGGGGCCACAAGGCTCAAGCGTGATTCACATTGTAGAAGAGGAAGGAGCACAGGAAATGGGGGTGGGGGGGGTTCCATCTACCAAGTCCTGGTATGGAACAGACCCCATGCACCAGAAAAGGCGCCCCCTGCTGGCTGCTGTGGGCTCCAGCCAGCACAAAGACCAGACAGGCCCGGGCCTCAGTCCAGCGGCAGGCTGACCCCAGGTGGGCCACTGCCAGTACCCCCCCCCATCTGTTAAAAAAAGCAGGGATGCTGACTGCTTCCCTCCATCTGTATCTGTCACAAGCTCAAGTCATGGTTCCTGGCCACTGTCAATAAGCAAAGACTGTTTTCCTCTCCACCCCCGTGGCCCGTGCAGGACAGCTGCAGCTCGTTAGGGGAAAGGCGGTGCTGTTCTCCGCAGCATGGACACTGCCTGGCCGAGGCCTGCGGGCCGGGCCGGGCCGGGCCGTCATGTGGCACAGGCGACAGGCACACACACAAGCAACTACTCGGGGGTGGGGTGGGGGATTGTTAGTGCCCTGGCCGGGGCTTCTTCAGAACAAAAGTCCAAACCAGGCATCATCCCACAGTGCCACGCACACACTCCACACACGTGACCCGTGTCTGTTACGTGGGGCTGAGGCTACACGTTAATGTGGCTGCTCCACTGGCCACGAGCAGGACGGGGTTAGTGGCGGTTTAAATGGGCACGCAGCAGCCTCCGGCTGGCCGAGCTGGTGGGCTGGTTGGTGAGTCCCGTTTAGTGGGGAGGCCTTGGGCCCCGCGGGCGGGGTACCTGGATCGGCTTAGTTATCAGGCTGGATGTAGACCTGGCGCTGGGTGAGCACCTGCGAGAGCTCCCTCTGCAACTGCTTAAACTTGTGGTTGTCGGGGAGAGCATCAAGAGATCTACAGTGTTCAGAGGGAGGAGCGGGAGGAAGAGAGAACAGCGATGCACAGCCTGGCCGCCGAGGTAGAGGAAGTAGTCTACACTGGCATGGCCCTGGTTGTCAGGGATGCACACCCCATATCCCGGCCACTGGCGGGGGCCGAGGCCAGCCAGGCCCGGCGGGGGGGGGAAGATGGTGGTACAGTTGCAGCCCCAGACATAGGCCCACCACAAGGCCCACCGGGCCCTTGGCTGATACAGGCCAGGGAGGGCTAGTAAGGGGCTGCCCTGCCCCCGCCTTATTCTAAATCTGAAACCTGCCTCCTGGACCAATTCACAAGCCAAGGCAACTCCCAGGGCTGTGCCTGCCTTTCTGGTCCTGTCCTGACATCTGGGCTAGGGAATGGGGTTCAGGGGGGTGCCTACCAAAGGCACAGCAGAACATCGGGGCCTGAACGGGGGAGCAGGCTGCAGGATGCTCGGTCGGCCCCAGCTTGGAACCTGTGGGCAGCGCCTCCTGGTCCGGGTGAGGGCTGCTGAGGCCTGGGGCTACCCAACTTGCAGGAGACAGGCCAGTGCTCCAGCTGACCCTCGGCTGCTCCTCCTACCAACTAGGTTTGGCCTCCTGTTCAGAACACCGTGGGCCTTCTTCACCCTCCAGCATCTGCTTGGTGGCCATGCAGAATCCAAAGCACAACATGGCCAGGTGGAGTTCGGGGCCCTGGGCACAGCCAGCAACCATGGCAGAGGGCACAAAGTGGGGGTGGGGTCTCTACCTGTGCCAGATGCTGCTGCCCTGAAGCCTTGGTCTGCCAGAGCTGGGTCGAGTGGGGGTGGGAAGAGTCTGTGGCTGGGCCTAACTAGCAGGGGGGTAACCAGAAGCTGCCGAGGTGAGTGAGCGAAGGAACCTCAAACTACTGAGAATACAAACTGCAAATACTAAGTTCTAAACCTTGAAAACTTACGTGGAAATCCCCAGAGTGGGTATGTGAGGGACGAGGCTGAGGCACATGGACACAGAACAAGGATTCATACCCCTTTTTGATTCCAAAACTTCAAATTTTTGGTACATTACCTCAGCCCGTTGACAATATCCTTTGTTTTCCCAAAGTAGATCTCATTCAGTGTACTTCTGATTTTATTTTCCATGTCCTGGAAAGGGAGGTTGGTCAGCCAGGATGGCAAACCGGAATCCTAGGCCCCACACCCCACCCGCCACCAGCCCACCCTGCGGTCCCCGCTGTGGCCACACGGGGGAGACACAGGACTGCTTCTCTGCCAGGACACCATCTACAATTTGTGCTGAGCCTTTCCTGCTCTTAGGCATGAAGGAAGCCAACACCTAGGGACTGACAGCCAACTCTGACCACTACTGGGAGCTGGTCTAAACCACATCACCACCCCTCAGCCTGGCCATCAACTACGGGAACAATTCTGTGAAACCGGAGAACACTTCTCCGCTTCCAAACTGTGGTGACAGGCAAGGCTTCGGCCCCAACTCAAGTTGCTCCAAGGCACGCCCGTGTTCCAGGGATCTGCTTCCGGCCCAAGCTCCAGTCTGTTCACACCCAGTGGATTGAGGCAGACAGGATTTGGCTCTCGCTTCCCAGAACCAGGACAGAGTGCAGTCCTCGGGGGCATGTGTGGGGCAGTGTGTATGGGCGGGGGGATGGCCCAGACTTGGGGGACCCCAAGCTGGGGTGGCAGGCACGCGCTTCCCGGGCTGCAGAGGCACAGGTGTGAACCCCAGCCCTGAGTCCTGACGCCCACTCACCTCTACCAGGCGCCCGATATTGGCTATGTGTGGGGAGCAGTCGCTTACAGTTTCATCTTTCTCCATCTGCAAAACCAAACAAAACACTTAAGTCAGAGAAGGCAGCAGCTTCCGAGAGCACGGCCTGATGTGCGGCCACCTCTGTCTTTTGTGAATAGACGACGGTTTCTGCTGGTGGCGCTGTGGAAGCCATGCATCGACTGTCACAAGGACACGTTTCTAGCACAAAACCACCGAAGAAATTTCAGGTCACAAACAACCCAAGCCTCATGTCTGGGGGAATCTGCTGGGCCTGGAGATGCCTTGCTCTGCCTGCCCAAGGCACAGGCATTTGATTTGGGACCTGGGAAAGCTGCCGTGTACTGTGCAGGGAGGGACTGCCAGCCTTGGCAGAGGAAAGGCCGGACGAGGCCAGGGTCATGAAGTGACTACGCATGCATGGAGGGACCTGGGCAAACCCCTATTTTAGAACCTGCCCTTGTCCATTTGAAGATGGGGCGGGGCAGGGGACCTCAGTAGGTGATGCTTTAAGCCCAGGCAAGTCAGCTCTACCCCCTGGGGGGGACGCTACATCTGACAGGGCTTGGGAATCCTCAGGATCCCAACTTTAATACTTAGTTCTTTGACAAAATCCACCCCCCCCCACGCTGCCACCCTACCCCATCTCCTTTCCTCCCTCCCACCAGTACTAGAGCCCTCACACTCTGGCTTGGCTTTTTTTTTTTCAAAATTGAGACTTTGCTGTTGCTGTTGTTGGTGGTGGGGCCTGAACTCTGGGCCTGGGTGCTGTCCTTGAGCTCTTCAGCTCAAGGCTAGGGCTCTAACCACTTGAACCACAGCACCACTTCTGGTTTCCTGGACTTTCCTGCCTGGGCTGGCTTTGAACTGTGATCCTCAGATCTCAGCCTCCTGGGTAGCTCGGATTGCAAGCATGAGCCACCAGCGCCCGGCTTTCCAAAATTGAGACTTTTTTAAAGAAGAAATTTGCCTGTTTTCAAGGGTACCTAGCAGGAACTCTAATTATGTAAGTCATTGCTAAGTCACTGTTGAGATACAATGCACAAGCTGGTAAGTAACAAGAAGCAGGAAGCAGGCTGGTGTGGCGGTGTATACCTCCAACCCAGCACTGGGCAGACTGAGGAGAGAGACTGGGGAGAGTTCCAAGTTTGAGGACGGCCTAGACTATATGGTAAAAGCCCGGCCACCCTGGGCAAGTGAGAGCATTTTGAGTAACAACAAAAAGGAAGTGTGAAGAGGAAACCAGAGTTAACACAGTACAGACTGGAAAACGAAAGCAAATCAAAGCATTTTTGGAGAGGAGGAAGCCAGGGACCAAAGGCTCATCACAGCAGGGCCACAAGTGAAGTCAGGTGAGCAGCTCAATGTCTGTGCACCTGAGCTTTGTGCTTCAGAATCAACAGGCACCTTTCATCAAAGAGGCGGAAGCCACTGGACCCTTAAAGGAGAGATATTGGGGGTCAGGGGCAACAGATGGACTTCCGGGAGCACAGGGGCCCCTATGCCTTGGACAGGGAATTCAAGCCCAGTAAAAGGCTCAGCAGGGGCTGCGGGCGATAGGCCAGGCATGAGCAGCAGAGCTCCTGGCACCTAGAGGCAGTTTCCATGGCCCCTTTCCCCCCGCCCCAGCTCCCCTCCACACCTGGCCAGGGTCAGCTTGCTGGCAATGCTGACCCACCAGAAATAGAACTATTTTTGTAATGCATATATTATTACATCCTTATAAAAGTGGCTGCCAGAAGTAAAACATTTTTATGTTCTGTGGCCACACAGATGTTCCGTAAGGTAGTTCCAATGAGTCTGGAGTCTGCCCAGCCCTCCTGTCCCCAACGAGCCCCTCTCCTCTCCATGGCCAGTCTTCAAGCGGAGGAGGTCTTTCCTGACACAGAGTGGCACCACAAAGCCGTGTTTGCTCCCCGCCCTAGAGCCAGAAGAGCCCCGGCTGGTCTCAGGCCTCCACCTCTTGTCTGTGAACTAAGGTACACAAGAGGCAGAGCAGTGTCTGGTGGGCTGGGGGCGTGTTCCCCCGGCAGCGCAGGGCCAGTCCCAGGACCCTTTCGTTCCTGGGGTCTGGACAGCTGCCTCCTTGTGTTGTGGGCACAAGGCCAGGTAAAGCCAGGATGGAAACTGCTGCCAAGCCACAAGTAAAGCAGCATCCCAAGAGAGGTGGGCCTGTCCAGTACAGGCCCACGGCCTGAAACTGTACCTTCTAGATTTGCACCAATGACAGTATACAACAGCATTGTGGAAGTGGCACCGACTTTCAAAACTGACTTCACCAACTCAGGGAGGGTCAGTTCAGATGGCGAGGCGGAAATCTTGCTTTCTTCTAGACCTTCATGTGCTTCACCAGAAAAGCCAAGGACAAACCACCATCCCGGGCACAGAGAGTCCAAGCAGGGCCCACCCCAGCTGCAGCAGCCTCCTCCAAGCACCGCCAGCCCCTCCCCAGTCCCACAGGAGGCAGCTCCCCCCAGCCTTTCTTCTGGGTCAGTGTTCCTCACTCCTAGGGGCCATGTTCCCCTAGCTAACACGCCCTGGCCCTGCCCACCCTAGATGCTGCCCACCTGAAAGGAACCATGGGCTTTGTTCCCTGAACAAAATCCCTGCCTGACCTAACCACCAGGCCCAGGTGCGGTGGGCCTCTGCCGCAGGGCCCGGCTGAGCGGGAAGGTGGAGCGCTGCCTGCCCACCGCCGCCTGACCTCCCTGTCCACCCACACTCCACCCGCGCGGCTGAATATTTAGAACCGGTGAAGAATAAATATCAAACCAACATCTGCACGGCCCTCCCTCCCCAGGAGCCCTTGGATCTTTCCATACCTCTGGTCTGCTGCTTTCCCGTGCCTCTGCTGGCACCTGGCAGAAGTGACCTTGGTGCCACAGGCCTTTCTGCAGGTCCACCACCTCCTGTGGGGGCCCACAGCAGCCTGCCAAGGGGCACCCCCCAGTGGCCTCTGCCCTGGCAGAGGAAGAGGTGGGTGGCTCCCCGCCTTGCCTCCCAGCCCCCTCAGCTGCAGGCCAGTCAACACTCCATCTCCTCACCTTCCTAACTTCTGTGTCAAAGACAACCTTGGGCAGCGGTAGCCAAAGGCCATGGAGAGGGTGGGCCAGGATGAAGGAAGTTCACAGCAGGGTGTGTCCAGCTAGCTGGGGAATGCAGCTGCAGCCCTGGGGCAGGCATCAATCACCAGAACCTGGAGGTCACCCTCCGCACTCCTGCTGGGGGGGTTGGGGGGAGGGGCAGGCAAGCCTTTCTGGCTGCCGCTGTTGGCGTGAGTGCCTGAGGCCACACACAGGCAAGGTGGGGGGGGGGCGTACACCCACAGTGCACCCACAGCTGGCCGGGAGGCTCGCAAGGCTTCAGTGCTCAGTATGGGGACCAAGGGAGATGGTGCCCTCCTCCTCCACCCACGGGCCTTCCTTCCTGCCGCTGTCCGGGGATGTGGGGGTGATTGTAAAGAGGCCACAGGCATACAGTTCTGACCACCCCACCTCCACGTGTCTCCCAATGCCTCCCGCCTCACCCTTCTTTATTCTCACCCACCCCAGGCTTGCCTGCCCTACCTGCTTGTGTGTGTGGTGGTCAGGGGAGCGGGGCACAGTGGGGGGGCACAGTGGGGGGCAGGCCTCACCACCTTTTCCTGGACAACTCTAACAACCTCGTCAGCCTGGCCTGATGCTGGCTGGCAGAGCCATCTCCTGAAACACCAGGCCCCACGTGGCCTGGCACAGGGTCTGGCCAGTCCATTCGCCTCTCCATGCCTATCTACCAGCCACACAAAGTCAGACCTGGTAGAAAGTGTGACCTGGTAGAAAGAGCAGGTATTCCTGCCTGACAAACCTGGGTTCAAATCCTGATACTGACTTACTGGCCAAGTGATCACTTAAACCACAGGAGCCTCAGCCTGGGTCGGTCAGATGGGTGGGGCAGCTCTCCCTGTTCACAGCCGCATAACCCTGTACCTCACTGATCCCTCATTCACTCTGCTTTCCTGGAACCCCTTCATCTCCCATCCAAGACAAACACAGGCATTTTTCCAGGGCTCATCTGGGACCTGCAGCGAAGCCCCTCAACCCCAATTTCCTCTGCTGGCTTAGAAGCTGTGCACCGTTAACGTAAAACTATCCACCTCACAGTGCCCCATGCCCCCTCCCTACTTACAGGGGAGGGGAGCCTCAGCGCTAATGCAGCTCAGCTGGGCGAGGGTCCAGCCAGAAGAGCCATGGCAGAGCATGCATTTCCTCATTAGAGCCCCAGGAGCAAAAGGCAACACAGACAAGGCCCTTGGCCCCAGCCAAGGTGTGGTGAGGACGGCTGCTCACCAGGCCTGAGTTTGGCTTGGCAGGGGCCTCTGCTCACAGCAGGCCGGAACCAGACTCTGGTTGCGAGCTGACAGCTCTGACTGAAACCATTAGGAAGACTCAGGATTAATATTTGTGCAGGTCACTGTCCACCGGATGGAAGTTATCCACAGTTCCATGCAGCTAGGATGCAGAAAGCAGTCTCCAGATGCAGATGCAGGATTTCCCAGCCATTCCCGTGTGTGTGTGTGTGTGTGTGTGTGTGTGTGTGTGGTGTGTGCGCGCACGCACGTGTGGATGTGCGTGTGTGTCTCTGTGGTGGGATGGGGTCTGCTTGCTGGAGGACAGGGGTTGGTAGGCCTGTCCTGTCTCCACCAAAGGTCCTCATCTATGCAGATGACAGGGCTCTGGCCTGGGGTGGACACAGCGCCTCCCCATCCTGGGTGTGCAGGCCAGCACCTGCCTGGCAGGCAGCACCACTTTCCCAAGTCTGTCACTGACAAAGTTAGGAACCGCACCCTTTCTGCCATGCATTTCTATCAAGAGCTCTCTCATGGGTTTTTGGTGCTGGGGACGGGCCGGGGCTTTACATGTGCCAGGAGGCCCTCATCCAGCAGGGCGCATCCCAGCCCAAAGCATCACTATCTTACGGAGGGGGAAAAAAAATCTTTTGATACTGAGGGAAATTGTCAGTCAAAAGCCACTCAGAAGTGGAGGGGTTCCGTGCAGCAGCATTTGCCAGCACCATTCCGCCCCCCCCGCCCCCCCCCCCACACACAAGGGCAAAGCTCAGTTCTTCACAAGCCGCACATCTTGTTCCCTGCTGTAGTTTCCTGCACTGGGCAGGCCCAGGGAAAGGCCCATCTCAGAATGGGATAGGTGTGAGGGGTCTCCTTAAGTGGGCCGCAGGGTCTGAAACCTGCTCAGATGCTTCCAGCAGTTCTCATGCAGAGGTTAAGGCAGTCTGCACCTTCTCAGGTGAGCTCCCAGTTCAGCTTGGACACTGAAAAGGATGCTTAGCAGCCTGGCGAGCTCACACCATCCCACATTTTAACCACATATGGAACTTCCTGGAGGATTTTGTTAGAAGAAGGCATATCTTGTTAGGCACTGATGGCTTTACACCTGCAATCCTAGTTACTCAGGAAGGCTGAGATCTGAGAAGCACAGTTTGAAGCCAGCCTGAGCAAGAAAGGCTGTGAGACTTTTATCTCCAATTACCCACCAAAAAGCCTGCAGTGGAATTGTGGCTCAAGTGATAAGAGTGCCAGTCTTGAGCTCAGAGACAGTGCCCAGGCTCTGAGTTACACACCCACACATGCACACGCGTGCAGATCTTGATCAATTTCTCAATTTCAAATACACTGGTGACACTGATGCTTGGCCTCAGGTATGGCTGGTGATGCAGAGACCTGGACTGCACAGCAGCTTACAGAAAGTTGACCAGATGGAACAGTGGCTGACTCTGGCCATACAAATGGAGAACTCTTAAAAGCATCGCATGAGCTGTGGTTGAGGAATGAGGTTGTGGTGAGCCCTGGTGAGGGAGAGGAAATGAGGTGAGTGTGCAAGACCCTTGTCCTACCACAGTGGGAAGCCAGCTGGGCAATGGCAGAGATGCCGGAAGCCCTGGACATTGTATTTCTAGGCGGGGTAAACCGCAGAGGTCAGCTCTGAGGCTGGCGCTGCGGCACCTGCGGCTGGCTGAGAGTGGGGACCGCACCTGTCTGGTGAGGCTGCCTCCGAGGTTCATGGTGCCCGAGCCGGATTTGTTGGTTTGCAGCCACAGCATCACCGTGGAGGTCAACTTGTAATGGGCAGTGCGGCCACTGGACTTCTCCTGAGGGGGATACAATGGAGATCAGAACTGGGGTACACCTGAGCAGAGGAGGGCCTGGGCCTTGTGTGTGGCCTCTGCAATCTGGGGTCAGTCTATCTGTCCCCCCTTAAGTCATCACTACAACACCTCCTCCCCTATAAAATCCCAACTCGTTTTTAAAGGGGCAGAACCTCAATTCATGTGTATTAAGCTTTTTTGGGATCTGTAGGGTGACTGAGTGAAATCTTGACTCATCTTTATCCAAAAAGGCTTCAGGGATCCGCAGAGGTTCCACCCCAGCAGCACCTGTGCCCCTCCGGGTCATGTGGAGGGCCGGAGCTGTGCTGTGGGGTAGGGGGACCGTACCTGCACCTCCACCACATGGATGGAGTCCCAGCAGCCTTTGATCTTCTTTGATCCGTCTCCAGCCTTCTTTATGAGAATTACTCCAGCAAAGCCATGATCCAGATCCCAGAGGTAGACAGACGAGACGCCACCTTCAAAATACCTGCGGGAGACAGGCCCACGTGCCCGTTAGATATAGTCAATTCCTGACCCTGGTCCCGGCTGTTACTCAGCAACACGGCACCTAGATGATGTCCCTAGAATTGAAGGACCTAGGACTGAAGACCACCTGGGGCCAGGGCAGTAGGCTCATCCTTGCTTGGGGGAGATGTGTGGTACTATTTTGGTTAAGAGAAAAATATGGACGTAGGGAATCACCAACTTGAGTTTGACCTTTGAGTCCTTAGCTAGCGCACTAAACTTCTCTGGGCTTTGGCTTGCTCCTAGATAAGGACCCAGCAGTGTGTGACCCAGAGCAGACGGCTGAAGGAAGCCACCGCTAGCACAGTACTTACCATCATCAACAACTGTCCAGTATTTAGCTTTGAGGAAGCTATCTGACAGGACAAAGGGGAAAACAGCAACAAGCCCTCTTCCAGACCAGGACTCTCTTTGATCTTATTTACGACTAGTGAGAAAAACCCAAGTCAGAAATGAAGGCCTAAGCTTGGCAACACGGAAAAATTCCTAGTCATGACGAAATCGAGGGAAAAGAAGGGCCAGGAGCACAGGTGGTCAGTTTATACCTCAATCTGAGGTGACAGACAGAGGCCGCAGGAGCAGAGGTCCTGATGTGGCCTACTGAGCTACTCAAACTGATGCAATGCTGGGGACTCACACATCTCCTAACCAGCACATTCTCGAACAGAAAGATCTCAGGAAACCTGCTACTAGTGCAGGAGGCACCCCTTGGAACGGGCCAGGGGGAGAGGTACCATGTACACTGGACCTCATTCCTGACAGGCAGCTGCAGGGGCACTGCGGGCATCAGGCATTTGTGGCCAGTGCCCACTGTCCCTATGGCAAGCTCTCTTCATGGCTCATCCACTCAGCTGTGATTTGCTAAAGGTGAACAACCAGAGGCCAGCTGTGTAAACCTGGGCCCAGAGGAATGACACACAGATTATAAGAAGTAGACACTGACTGTGTTTGATATTAAAATTAAGCACTGAAGTGTAACATGTATCTGTGGGTTATATCCTAGTACAGCTATGAGAACATGAGTAAAAGGAACACAGAATTCTTTGTTCCCACATCTATAGGTTCTATTTCCTTGAATTCAACCAACTCTGAACTAAAAATGCTTAAAAAAAAAAAAAAGTCCATTATTTGGCCAGGTGCCAGTGGCTCATGCCTGTAAACCTAGCTACTCAGGAGGCTGAGGTCTGAGGATTGCAGTTCAAAGCCAACCTGGACAGCAAAGTCCGTAAGATTCATCTCCAATTATTACAGAAAAAGGTGGAAATGGAGCTGTGGCTCAAGTGGTAGAGTACTACTCTTGAGCACAAAATTTCAGGCCCAGAGTTCAAGCCCCAGTACTGGCTTAAAAAAAAAAAAAAAGCCCCTACCTGTATTGAACAAGCAGACGTTTTTCTGTGGCACAAGAGCTGTTCACACACAGCACATACAGGGTGCTGGGTCTGTGGACCATGCTGTCATATACAAAAGCCTAGGGTGTCCGAGGACTCCGGTATCCACCAATGCATGGAAATCACCCTCCACCTCTCTGTGGCAAGGGCTGACTACGTTCTGTTCTTACAGTTTTACTGTATATCTAGAACTATTCAAGTGAAGCCATTTAGGCTGAGGGCCTCTGGCCTACACCAGCCCTGCAAGGGGCAGGGCCCCCAGTAGGTCATTCTGGAATGTTCCTGGGATGTGTACAAATGGACCTTCCTGCTGGACCTGAGGTCTTATGTTGCTTAGCCTGGGGGCACAGGTTCCAGACCCCTTCTGGCTTGTCCTCACTAATGGTGGTGACTCCTTCAGGCCATGTGTCCACCTGGGAGGCCTGAGAGAACCCGAGTCCCCAGGAGCCCATCTGCTATCTGTCCTGTTGGTGTAGCTGGGCATTGGTGGCTCACACCTATAACCCCAGCTACTCAGGAGGCTGAGATCTGACGTTCTCAGTTCCAAGCCAGCCTAGGCAAGAAAGTCCTTAAGACTCTTATCTCCAATGAACCACCAGAAAACCAGAAGTGGCGCTATGGCTCAAAGTGGTAGAGTGCTCGCCTGAGCAAAGAGAGCTCAGGGACAGTGCCTAGGTCCTGAGGTCAAGCCCTGTGACCAACAGCAACAACAACAAAAGGTGATCTACCAAGGCCTCCCTTAGAGCCTGAATGTTGGGAGCGCAGTCCCACATCAGAGGGGGGAAAACCACCTTAAATCTACCTTAAACCTGTGGCTCTTCCCATGCTGAGACAGGGCTGGGGCTGTTGGAAGCAGGCTTGAAGCCCAGGGCATCTTCTCCTTCTGTGTCCTGTGGTATTGCTCCAATCCGGGGCCAGCTCTTTGGAGTGCTGGGTTATTGGGGAGAGGCAGGGTCAGGCTGCCCTGGAAAGGAGCCTGGGGAAGGCGGGAAGGCTGGGGTTTCACGGCCCTTGTTAACAACACTGGACACCAGTTCCAAAGTGCCAGTGGCCTAAGGTTCGTCTCTTCCCTTACTGGTCTGTTTTCTTCCAGAGAAACAAAACAACAGCGTTTATGTTTTATCCAGTGGAATTGGATGTTGCCATGCCAACGCCCCACCCTGTGGCCCTGCTCCTGCTCGCGCTCCAGGCAGCTTTGCTCTGGCATACTCAGCCTCCCCTGTGGCCACACGGATCATGTCTCAAATTTCGAAATGCTGGAAATGAAGGAGGTTCCAACTGCAAGCCAAAATGTGATCTCCTTGTGGGTCACTGTTCTGTTTCCCAAAACTTAAAAACTTACTGCAAGAGCATAAAAAGAAGGCAATTTAAAAATTAGCCACAGCTGGGCACGGGTGGCTCACCCCTATAATCCTAGCTACTCGGAGGCTGAGATCTGAGGATCCTCGCTCAAAGCCAGACGGGGCAGGAAAGTCCGTGAGACTTTTATCTCCAATAAACCACTAGAAAACCGGAAGTAGCACTGTGGCTCAAGGGGTAGTGCACTCACCTTGAGCTGAAGAGCGCAAGGACAGCACCCAGGCCCAGAGTTCAAGCCCCATGATTGACAAAAAAAAAAACCCACTCAGAAAACTAGAAATGGCGCAGTGGCTCAAGTGGTAGAATGCTTGCCTTGAGCTGAAGAGCTGAGGGACAGCGCCCAGGCCCAGAGTTCAGGCCCCATAACTGACCAAAAAAAAAAAAATACCCACAATACCAGAAACCAATGTACACCATAAATCTGAGTTTTCCAAAGTCCTTTCCAGCCCTCGTCCAGATGCCTAGTTTTTATATAACCCTAAGCACAGCAATGGGGCTGGATTAAGTTGGGTTTTCTTTCACTTGGCACCTAGTCACCAGCACTTTTCTGTAGAGCCCCGTTGGCAATAGCTGGGACAATATTCCACTGAGCAGGAGCCTCACTTACTGGCGACTGGAGTTTTCACAGAGATGAAATGATGGCAGAGCAGGGGCGATGCTGCCGGCCACTCACCTGACTGTGTTCCATCTCTGAATGAACAGGGGTGTTCCCTGGTTGAGCAGGGTCCAACTGGGACTTGGTCTCCTTGGGCGCAGCCCAAACACCACAACAATTCAAGAATGGACTTGATTCCAGGCACCGAGAGGGACCTCCAGAGATGTGAGTGGCCACAAGTCTCAACGTGACACCAAGACAAAGGGAGAGGGAGGCTGCTTTGCAATCTCCCCAAAACATCAGGCTCGCTGGCACTCACTGTCAGGACGGCTCCTGGCTTGGTCGGGTGCCGGTGACCGTGGGGTGCACAGACAGCCCCCCATTACATGGTTTATGGTTTTACTCTGCGCGTGAAGCTTTAATTAAAGAGAGACCTCAACAAGTTTCTGAAAATATATCCTTACCTACCGTACTTTGATCATAATGACATGAAACAAGGAAAAAAATCATTTTTATGTGGTTTGCATTTATGAGTTTTTACATAAAGGCTTTTGTGGGTATTTTAAGAATGTGCTAAAATGTTGCTTGAAACCACATGAAGCCATCTGAGGAGTTGCCAGCCAGAACTAACAGCACACACATGGAAGTACTTTAACTGGCCTTTGTATATTTAATGAGTCAAATAGTATTAATATTGTTTAAATGATAACATGCTATTTCAATAAGGGGACTCTGCCATCACCGGTGACCCATTTCGAGTCTTGCACATCATCGTGAGTGAGCCATCAAATGTGGCCAAGCATGGAGGGCAGCCTCAGAGGATCGAACTTACCCTGCCTGCAGTTCTGCCAGTGCTCTCTATCCTTCAAACTCTCTCCAGGGAAGGAGAATGGGCCCAGGAATGGCTACCGTAGCTCTGAGGCTGGGTTCAAAAGGGAAATCTTGGAGTTCTGGAAGTGAGGTCTCAATCAAAGAGGAATGCATGGGCTCCTCTCAGGCAGCACAGGGTTGAAATCACATGCCATCAGGGCAAATGACCAAACCGGAGTCCCCCAGCAGGACGACATGGTGACAGCCTCATGAAGACCAGAGAACGCACCTTGGACAAGGGTTGGACTGTGCAGTGGGGTGGCCTCAGACAGCAGGTGGAATGACAATCAACAGTGGGTGGGGGACCAGGACCAGAGCACCGAGGCCTCCGCTTTGCTGATGTCCACAGAGTGAACTCTGTCAACTGAGTGCCAATGGTTTCCCAAGAAGAACTGGCAACTCCCAGCAGGCAGATGGACTCTACTGAGGAATCAGTGTGCTGAGAGTAAATAGATGGAGACAGATAGGGCCACCTGGGGCTGGAGCTCTAAGTCCTGTCTGTTGGTAACAGTATAATGATCATAAATAGGCAGAGGCAGACATCTTGTCACTCAGGGCTACCTCTGCACCAGGTGAGCCAGGAGCAAAAGCCCAGACTCTCAGATGGGGCTGTTTGCCAGCACAGTCAGTTCTAATCAAGCACCTAGTTGGGCTCAGTCTCTACTACCTGTAAGATCTTTAACTGGGTTTGGCTCATTACCTGATGTCAGTAATTCTCTTCTCAGAGACCTAGCTTGTTTTTCTGTGAAA